AAAATACTTCTAAGATATAGATACAAATACTGAAGAACAAGAAAGTGATGACGATATTATAGTTAAGCAAGAAAATAGTACGTGCAACCAGAAATAGTACAGGTAAAAAACAAAAAGTTAACTATACAAATGTGTTAGTCACCCTTCTTACTTCCATATACTTTTATTTTTTTGTCTTGTAAAATTCAATCTATGATTAAAACAAGCCTGCCCGACGAAGCCGGGCAGACACAAATTAAACTTCTAGTTTCATATTATTTACATAATTAGTAAACCATATACAGTCGAACCTCGTTATACCGAACTCCGTTATGAAGGACTAAGTAAAAACCCGTTATATCTATAGCAAATTTAACCTCGTTACACTGAATTTATTAATTGAACCTTGTTATAACGAATTTCTTGGAATTTTTGCCTTACGTTCTCGACCTCTTTGTTATAACGGGTTCGACTGTACTTCTTTTGGTTAGTGTCATGCAGTATCCTTATGGGCCCGATTTTATATACTAGCTACAGGTCTACTATTCAATGAAATGAATAGTTATTTATTGCGATGTTATTCAATGCTATTCTATTCTACGCGTTGAAACGAAACGAAACTATGTGTCATATCTCTTTTTACACCAACTCTATACTTCAATTTTCTCAATGTGGTGTAACAAATAAGCCGCCCAATAAAACTCAAGAATTTAATATACTAGTTTTTAAATTTTCTTTGAATGCATCAATCTTGAAAGTATCTCAATTGATAATTTGTTGATATTATCCATAAAGTATTAAACAGTATTTCCATTACTACAATCCGAAAAGTTGCGGGAAAGTCATAGAGGCATATGATAAAGGCTTACAAGGAAGGGGCAGTAAAGAAATATAAATCACATCGTCAATTGCCAGATAATATTAATAATAAATTTTTCGAATAAAGATTTTAAATGTGTATAGTTTTTTTTTCGCTTGAAATTCTGCCCTCGATTTACAAGTTAATCGGCAAATCAACAAATCTCACGTCATACGTTACACAAATTACTAATTGGAAATGATCGCTTTCACTAGATATGTTTCAATTTTTCGAAGAGCCTTATTATAAAAAGTATTTCAACTTTAAAACCTTTCAACTCAGTGTAGAGACATTTTACGACAAAAATAGCCAGTAACTTTGTAAAGATTGCAACGAACATAATTACTGGCGGATTTTTTAAAAAAAAAGTCTCTACATTTGAGCTGAAAGATTTAAAAGACGGGTGATTTTATTGTCGAGTATAGAGTTGGTGCGGTGCACCATATCTCATCCCAAATGCTGCGATCGATCGATTCGAGTATTAGTAATCACGATTTAAGTATTAATAATCACATCTGTCGATTGATTTGAGTATTAGTACCCGTAATCATAGTATTAACTAGAGTAGTAAAAACCTGCTGCGCAGTGCACTAAATTTTGCAAGCGTATGATTAAATAAATGACTTTTTAGTTAGACGACAAAAAATTTAACACTATCCGTTCAAGTACTTTATGTCCAAATGAATAATACACTGCTGGGTATCTCACTACTTATACATCTTACTTCTATGCAGCAGGCCAAGCTGACGTATTTATCAGTCGCTGTCCAACGTGGTGTGGGACAATCTTAACATAGCTTCCAAACGTAATCGAAGAGTATTACCGTTTGCAAAGTTAGCTAAACAACATTTACCGCGTGAAACTGATTAAACACGTACCAATGTATCTTGATGTTTTGTATTTCGTAAAAACAAAATTAAATAAAGTCTTATATTTCTAATCAATATATTCTTATATTTTAATTAATTTTAATTTAATAATAATCACCCGTTATATCTTCGTGCAAAGTTAAATTATTATTATACTCGTCGTACTTCGCCCGGTCGACATGGTCGACCGGGCTCGGCACGACTGCTCTAGTTAAGATATGTTAAAGGCTGTGTAGCTTGCGCAGCAGGTCTCTTACTAATCTAGTTGCTTAATACAGTACACGTTTCAGAATTTTGGGACCACGACATTATATATCTAGGCATTCTGAGTTACAACGTGCGTGTCAGTTACATTGACATTTCATTGCCATGTTTGGTAATAATCAACAAGTTGTCAGACAACGACGAAAGGAAGCATATTTATTGTGTAAATAATCACAAAAATCATGTATAATAATAAATGTAAATAAAACTACGAAAAAAAATAAAAAATTCTATGCTCGGCCAAACTTCTGTTTCTGCGCTTTCTTCGCTCTAATAGTGGTAGGTGATTTCAGTATAGGACGCTTGTTTGAGCTGGCCATAAATTGCTGCTTAGAACGTATTTTCTACATGATATGATCGAATTATCGTTAGCATATACAGACAGATGTGTGTGTGTGAAAATCACCCAAGATAATACTCACATCCATCTTCAACTTGATCACACAATAAGCCGAATGACTATGAGCGACAAGCAAGTTTTCTGGGAAGTATTCATCAACAATCTCTTCGGATACGTCTGACCAGAAATTCATCTGACCCAAATATAAATTGAGTTGCAAATTCTCGTCAACCGGTTTTACAGATAACACTCTCAACGCAAATCGCTTCAAGGCTTTTGCGAATGCTTCAGCAGGAATTTTTCCGAGTTTACCATTGGTATCTTCAAATTCGCATGCGTTCATCAGTTCATCGTGTATCTCAACTGGGATTTCGCATTTGTATTTCGAATCAACACAGTCAATAAGTATATCGGCTACTCTGTCTTCTCCTAATTCATAAAGCGAGATGACGTGTTTTAATTCTAAACCTACTTTCAAACCCTTTTTCATTTCTGCAATTTTCTCAAGCGTTTCTAGTTCATTAATAATGACTGAGTCAATATCAGTGTTAACATTAGGAGTTTTGTCCTCTTCATTAGCCTTATTACAATCAATTGCTTGACCTTTCCTTGGAGGTAAAACTGTTGATTTTGGTTTGTAATTTTTAATCATATGATAAGAAACTATATCACGTCGCAACTCTTTTGTTAATAGCTCATCATATGGACCAATTTTCTCTTGAAAATCTTCAGGCAAAATATTGAAAAACCTTATATGTTGAATATGGTCAGATATAATTGCCCTGACTTTAGTAACATCTTCAGATGACCAGTTATCTGGTTCATTTTCGAGGCCTGGAACTTGATTTGTAGCCCATTGTATTACTGATGTCCAAATATCAATTTCTTTCATGTTGAGTTCATCATGTTTGAGGAGAGCAATCAAGGCCTCTTTTGGTAGACTCGCCAAATCATTGGATTTAAAAATAATATCTGGAGACGATATCATAATGTCGTTGCAGTAATTCAAAAGCTTGTTTAATGAACTTGAGGACAAGGCATTTTTATAGATTGCAAAAAAGTTGTGTTGTATCCATTTCTTCTGGTGGATAATCAAATAGTCTCCAACTGTGATAAGAAGGTTATCTAATTCGAATCTGCGAGCGACGTCCAAAAGACCAATCCAGTTGATGACTCCACTTGAATCGTAAGTCACTTTTCCTGTGTAAATAAATCTATAATATGGTAAATCGGTTGAGTAAGCAACCATTACGACAATGACTGTATTGTTTAGCATTTTATGTTAATAAACATTTACCTAAGTAAGATTTCAAAAACGTCGGATGTTATATCTTCAAAAGTCATAACTGTCCGTTGAAACTCTTCTGTATTTTCAACCATCATCTTCTCAAAATATGTGCTCCTCGTGCACAACACCACTGCATGAGCAAGAAAGATTTTATTGTTTGGCTCTCTTCCAACATTGATCGAGACATCTGTATATTTGTTGCTTTCATAAAGCTTTTCATAATCTGATGAAAGATCTGAAGACAAGTCAACTATATCAATTAAGCTAGTCATTTCGAAATGATAACTACAGTAGCTTGATGGTTTTCGATTATGTGTGTGTCACATGTTGCGTAACTCAATGCAGATCGTTTCTCAAATGCATTGATGACACTTACTTTATGTGGGTCTACTTAACGTACACTTCAAGTACGACAATTATACGCACGCCAATGTATAGTGTACTATACGTAAGAAGACAATTATTGAAATTAAAGGCTTATCAATTGGCTATTAAAGGCATACGTACGTACTCAGATTAATTATGGTTGAGCTTTATTTGTGCATCGCATTTTTATATAGATATCAGCTAGAGCAGTCGTGCCGACCATGTCGACCGGGCGAAGTACGACGAGTATAATAATAATTTAACCTTGCACGAAAATATAACGGGTGATTATTATTAATTAGGAATATAAGAATTTATTTAATTTTGTTTTTACGAAATACAGAACATCAAGATACATTGGTACGTGTATAATC